AGAGGCTGTATTTCTCCCTTGCAGCAGATTTGCAAGGTGGATGTGGCAGAATGTTGAGGGAGCAGGGACCTGACAGTGTTGGTGACATGCTACAAACGAGCAGACAAGCAGTCCTGCAGCGTGACGTGTGAGCAGAGGCTGTGACCTTGTAATGGGGCAGTGAAAGGGGCCCTGGCAGGGCAGTTAGAGTCCCCTCCACTCTCTGGTCTGGAGTCTTCAAGGCCAACTTGATGCGTCAAGTTCAAGCAGATGTCCAGGGGGAGAGCCCCGTCCCTGTCATGACTTGTCCTGGGAGGCACTCTCCACTGTACGGTTTGGCAGACCATATGTGGGCTGATTCTTTTCTCATCTTTGGCTAATTCTGGTAAGACTTTCTTAAAAGGGGCTTTCACCAGAAAGTTGAAATTAAAAAAAAACACAAAACTATCAGAAGTGACAGAAACAGAATTCTTATTTTGAATCCATGAGCATCTGGCCCCAGATTGTGGCTTTTACAGCTTATCTGGCAGCCTTTCTGACTCTTGTGCCTTTCCTCTTCCAGATCTGACTGCTCAGGCTGCCAGCTTGAGTTCTAAGTTTTAGGGGGTCCCTCTCCGCTTACATCCTGGACTTCTCTCTAAATGTGAGATCCCCAGCCACAGGCTCTGATGTTCTTCCTCTGTCATTTCGGGTCCTCCCTGACATCCAGTCCTTTTGAATGGGCCCTTCAAACCTGGTCCCCAGTATTCCTTCCTTGGGTTACAAATCAGCCCACACATGTTTTGTAGCAATCTCTTCTCCTGCCAGGTTCCTTGTGACTCCAGGTCTTGGGAATTCCTACTTTCGTCTCAGTCAGTTTCTCTCTGTCCCTTTTGACTCGTCTGAGAGATGTCCCCATATCAGAAGTTCAGGAGGGTTTATTCCAACTTCCTCATCTGTGGTGGATGCCAGCTTCTCAAACAGGATCTGTCCACAGGGCATGACCACTCTCAACTCAGAACTGGGAAGTTTCCTTTTGCTCTCTCAAGAGCAAGTAACTCCCTCATGGTTCTCTTCATGGGCTCAGATGCAGGAAACGCCTAATTCTCACTTATTCCCGACAGAGAGGACTGACGATCTAACACTTTCCCTCCCTGGAAGGTCTAATGCCTTCTACTGGTCCAGGGAATTCAAGCATTTTAAAACATGGCAATTCTACAGTTAATTGGTATTTCCTTCATTCTGATAATCAACATTGTTGGAAACAGTATGAGTTGAGAGTCTTGTCTCAGAGACACTGAAAGGTGCTACATTGGTCAGATGCCTAAGGTAGACAAACATTTGAAGTTTATGGATTCCATGTGCATTTTTAATGTTTTCCTGAGAAGGTTTCAATGACATTAGGTGAAAAGGAAGAGAACTATGAAGTTTCTTTGAATGAAATGAATGAAGCAAAGAGAACTTGAGGGGCTTCTCTTTCGGCTCCTCCTGCTGTGAAGTGACTTTCTGTGGATGGGAGGAGTTTCTGACCCCTAGGGTAATGACAGCGGCTGCTCCAGGAAACAACACAGTGATGCGTTGTAGAGAACACAATCTTTACTGAGTAACATCCGCGGGTCAGCTGTTATTTATACACATCCGGTGCAGTCCTTCCATGCAGTCGTCCATTTAGACTGCTGTACCTGGACTGGGTGGCTCTGACTTAACAGAAATTTATTTTTCACAGTTCTGGAGGCTGCAAGTCCAAGATCATAGCACCTGCAGACCTGGTGTCCGGAGAGAGCTCGGCTCAACATAGATAGTCACACATTCAATCTGTAGCATCCCTATGGCTATGTTTTTGAGTAAAGATTTTAAAAAGAAAACCCTTGGGTTCAAAGGCCAAGGTCAGAGAGCAGAGCTCAGATTCAAGGCTGACCCTGCTGACATCTAAGGACCCACTTTGCCCTCTGACTTCATTCTTTATTTTCTCCTCTCTGCTTTACCCCAAATACCCTCACTTGCTTTCTATGGACCTTCTGTGATTTCAGTTGGGCAAAGCTGTTTGGACTTTTTAGTAACAAAGATAACTCTCCGATTTAAGGAAAGTTATGTGACTGTAAATCCTATCGGAGGCCTGCTTGTCGCCGTTTCACAATTCAATCTTGCAAAGCCATCATAATTCAGAGCACTGCTGGTTTGGTAATTCACTTCATTAACGGTGCTGCCTGAATGAAATACACGGCAAATTAGAAATAAACAAATCCTTGGAAAGAATGGTAATACATTCAGAAAGCACAGAAGGTGGGGCACGCAGACAGAAGGAGGAAGGAAATGGGGAGGGGGGAAACATATCATATCAGGGTAAAGAGGGATTTTGTGAGCCCATCTGTACTTTGTGCTCCATGGTTTTGGAAGGCTCTTCTGGAGGATTAATTATGAATCTGTCTTGTTTATATCTTTACCTTGATTCCCCTCCTGCTCCCTCACCTCCTGTATCCAATTGATTATGAAGTTCTGTCAGCTTTATCTCCAGGAGAGATCTCAAACCTGTCAGCTTCTCTTTCGGCTGATGGACAGGGGGTGAGGACTTCCGGTGCCCTCCTGTGTCCCGGTCTCCTCTTTTCTCTGGGCACAGAGAATGGTTGCCCTTTTCTGACAGTAGGGCATGCAGCTAGTTCTGGCCAGGCTGAAGCCTTCAGACAACAGACTAAGACCTGCCAGCCCTTTCTTCTCCTGACACAGCAATTATGGAAGCAGGTTGCTGAAACCAAGTGGCCCCAAGACTGCAGCACGTGGTGTTTCTAAGTCATGTGGAGCATAGCCGCCCTAGAAAGACACTCAGATGTCTAGTGGGCATTTCATGAAACAAACTTTTGTGATGTAAAGCAACTGCCAGTGAGTGATGTCTGTTACCACATCATAGTCTATTCTATCCTGGCTGGTAGAGCAATCATCTCTCTCCCAGAACCCAGCAGAAGCCTCCCATCTGTCCATCCTTTTTTGTTTTTTTCTTCTGATTCTCAGGGATTTAAAAAAAAAAACCTCACAAACCCAGATGTAAATTGCCCCCCGAAATCTTCCTGAAAGGTTATTCCCTGAGCTTTCCATTTCTTTACTTTGCACTTTTAAAGTCCCCTCCTTATTTGAATATTCTTGAAAGTTCTTGATTCTCGAGCCTGGCGTGTTTGTCTGTTTTTCAAAAAAAAAAAAATACTAAAGCATAGAAGTTTAGCCACTGCAAATGTTCAACTCTAAGTTATGTTTCAAACTGTGAAAAGCAAACTGTTTTTAAAGGCTGAAATAAAACCCAAAAACAAAACAAAACAAAAACTCTGTAGTCTGTCCTTCTCTCATTTCATGTCTCTGCACAGTCACCTTCTTGAAATATACGAGGTCACACACATACGTCACTCCCTTGCCCCCAAACCTACTATGGCTGCCCACCGCATTGTTATTAGGATGAATTGTAAACATGGATTACCAGGTCTGTGAGCTCTGGCCCCTACTTACTCCTCCACACACCCTTTAGCCCTTCAGCCTTGAGCCCTGCCTGCCTTCTTTCAGTTTCCAAACACTCTGGGGCCTTTGCACCTGTTTCCCCCCCTATCTGGAAAGTACCCCCACCTCCCAAATTAGCTCTCTTGGATTACCCAGGGGATCTCCACCAAAATGACACTGTCCGGAAGCGCCCTCCATATGCAGGTGGCTCCCCATTACACTCCTGTGTGGCATCCACTGCTGTTTTAACGATCCCGAGCACAGATCATAATTCTGCCTTCATTCGTGTGGTCCTTTGTTTGATACCTATCTTTCTCCCTAACCAGACTGCAAGCTCCCCCAAGGAGAGGGACCTCCTTTGCCTGGCTCCCAATGCGTATTAGCTCCTCAGCAAATACCTTCAGGGTGATTAAATCAATGCGTTAATAGGAAGTCGGAGTTGTGTGCCTATTTTTGAAGTGTAAGGAAAGTGATAGCTGCATTTTTTTTTTGAGCATTTACTGTGGCAGGCATGGTACCAAGTGCCTTTTATTGTTTGCTCTATCATGTACATATCCTGACCATGACACTGTGAGGTAGGGACTAGAGATGCAGAAACTGAGACCTGGATCGGTTAAATAGCACGCGTGTGTCTCCAAGGCTCGTTAGGCAGCTCGACTCCATAACCCATTTCCTTAGCTTGCTTTTTGATTTGGTTTTGTTCCAACTCCAGTTTTTCCAATTTCATAAAACAACAGCAACAGGCCCTGCTATCACAGCTGTTGTAATCATCAAGGGCCAGATTTATCTTGCCTTTGTTTTTGGAGAGAATTATTGATCTCCTGTGTCTGCATGCTTCCTACCAGAGACGACATCTTTTAAAAAATAAGGTCTGTTTATATACACAATGATTAAAAATGTCCAATAATCTGTTCATTGCACGTATGAACCTGAAAATATGAAAACCTGAAAAGATAAAGTCTTCCAAATGGAGAGTTCTTTTCCATTTGACTTTATCATGTGAAGTTTCTTTGTTTTTTTGCTTTTTAATTTAGACCCATCTTTGGAGGTAAAAATATCAATTTCCTTTTTCATGGACACATCCAATAATGGAATGAAAATCAGACTTCATTTGGGCACACTTTATCAATTAAATCTGATTTTTGTTAAACGTATCTTACAAGCTCTCCTTTTAAAGCAATCACTTTGAATAGATGGAGAACTAGGGATTTTTAGGGTAATGAAATATTTGGCATGATACTATAGTGGTGGCTACATGCCATTATGCATTTGTCAAAACCCATAGAAAAAATGTGATACATCAAGAGTGAACCCTAATGTAAACTACAGACTTTGGTTGATAATAATGTGCCCATGTTGGTTCATTAATTGCACCAAATATGCCACACTGATGAGGATGTTTAGGGTGGAGGAGTATATATTTGTAAGTAGGGAGGGCTGTGTGCGAATTCTGTATTTTCTGCTCAATTCTGCTGTAAACCTGAAACTGCTCTAGAAGAATAAAGTCTACTTAATAACTGAATAAATAAAGCAGTCAATTTTTAATCTCTTTCATGAAACAGCACATACCTGAATGAGAAGTCACTCCAGCCATCAGAGAGATGCAAAAATCTGCAAGCCGGCTTGGAGACCTTATCTAACAAAACGAAAAAGTAAGTTCTACTCTTTGCATTTAATATAATTTTCAAATAAGTGTTTTGTACTCAAAACTGTTTCACAGCTCTTTGAAATCATTTGGAAAATAAGATTGTTTATGTGCAGGCATGACCTTGGGTTTGGAGAAGCCCCGGTGGGTCAGGACGGATGGACCAGGGGTCGAAGAGTGCAGACCAGGGTCGGCCCCTGGCAGTGGGGACTCTAGCTGTCTGTCTCTGGATCCACACAGTCACTGGAAATTTGGTCGTCTTGCCAGCTAAACTTTTCTAGGCCCTCACTCTTTTTGAGAAACCTTTTCTAGGCGGGAATGGAGTTGCTTACAATCCCAGAAGGTAAACAGGCTGACCCCTGGTCCCAGCTGCAGTTCACGCCGTTTCCCCACACCTGCGTACAGGTGGAGAGCTTCCAGCACTGTCTTCTCCAAACTAGGGGAAAGGAGATCTAAAAACTCCTAGCTTCCTACAGAGAAGAGTCACAATCAGTGTGACGGGGAGGAGGAAGTGCGTGTGTGTGTGCCCTGGGCCTGTGGTCACACCTGTCAGTCTCCTTCCCAGGAGCTCGCGTTTCGGATGGCGTTTGGCTGAGCGCTTGCCTGGCAAAGTTGGGACAGTTGTTCAGGGTACGAGGTGTAGCAGATTTCCTCACGGCAGCCTCGTGCAGTGGAGACCCAGAGAGCTTTCTGCTCCGTATTTTTCTCCTTTTCTTCCTAATAATCAATCTCTCCCTCTCCCCTTCTCATTGTTCTCCCCTCTCTCCCTTTATGTCTCTCCCACTCACGTGAACTGACACATCTCGTCTTCTTTTAATGTTACAAAGTGTTTGTGGGAGGAAGCAGATAAAGCTGCCCTAGAATCCATTTCTTTTTTATTTCTAAACATTTTGGCTAAGGAGAATTACATTTTGCTAAGCTTTTTTTTTGGTGGGGGTGCGTAGAGACCATTAAGTCTATTTATTTATTTCTTAATGGAAGTACTGGGGACTGAACCCAGGACCCCCTGCATGCTAAGCATGTGCTCTACCACTGAGCTATACCCTCCCCTCAATGGTGTCTTCATACCCAGTTGAGAGATTGAACTTGGTAACCATATCAGTAAATGCTGGCCCCAACAACAACCTTGATAAGGTATTTAACCTCCCTGGGTTTGTTTCCTCCTCTGTAAAATAGGAGATTAATGTGTAATTCATAGGACTATTGTGACATTTAAATTTTTATTTATTTTAAATGGAGGTACTGGTGATGGAACCCAGGACCTAGTGCATGCTAAACATGCACTCTGCCACTTGAGTTATACTCTCCCCCCATTTACTTTCTTCCTTGGCGGTTGACCTGGAGGAAAGGAAACCAGGGTAGACAACCTGGTCTGAACGCCTTTCATCTGGACCGCTGGGTAATAGACTAATGATATTTGTTGGGAGGAAGAAACTTATGTATTGAAAGTTCTAGCAGGCTGCTCCCTGCCTGAGGTATTGTATACATTAAATGGAACCCAAGATCCATGATCCAGGTGTCCCTGGAGAGTGGCACACAGGGTGGCTGTCTAACTGTCTGGATATTCAGGGAGATGTTTCAGACTTTAAATGTTCCTGCTGTGTAAGGAACACCATGGATCTCACTTAAAGACCTCATCTGCTATTCTGAGCCAGAGAGGTGCACATCCAGTGCAGGAAGACAGGACCCAGACGGCCACCCTTGGTGTCCCAGGTGCCTCTCTGCTTTGTCTGAGCCTCTTGACTGCCTGGATCCTTGCAGTTATTACGAAAGCCTGATACCTGGTTAGAGCTCTGATTTGAGAGAATCTGGTTTGACAATCCAATGCTGTATGTCCAACGCTCAGTTTATTTCAAAGGATAGCGCTATTAATTTTTTTGTTCTCTTTTCCTTAAATTCCAACTGATGGGCCCTAAGCTTCCGAGAGAAATCCACTGTGCTGAGTTCCTTTGATTGGCTGCGCCTGATGCACTCCCCCCCACCCCCATCCACAGCTGAGTCTGTCTTTGCCCTGAGAGGCCCACTGACAGGGACGTCATATAGGCCCCTGGCTCCTTTGTCATCTGGTTTTCTTTGGATTTGACCCAGAGAGGTGGGTACTAGAAACTGATCAGAAAGAAGGAGCAAGGGAAAGAAGCTTTCTTCTTGTGGTGGTGTGCAGGTGAATGACATCCTTGACAGAAGGAAGGTATTAGTTACATCCTGAATGAAGGCCATGACTTTTGTTAAGTGTCTCTCTCTCTCTCCTTTTTCTCTCCTTTCCTTCCGTTGGACTCTTGCCAGCACAGGAGTAGCTCTTAATAGTCCCCTGATATTGTACTTGCCTTTTCCTACATCCAGTTCAGGCCTTTGGAAAAAGTCCCTTTTTTTTTCCTTTTTTTTTTTTTTTTTTTGTATTGAAGTATAGTTGATTTACAATGTTGTGTTAGCTTCTGGTGTACAGCATAGTGATTCAGTTATATGTATCTATATATTTTTCATCTTCTTTTTCATTTAACTTATTACAAGCTATTAAATATAGTTCTCTGAGCTATACAGTTGGTCCTTATTGTTTATCTATTCTGAATATAGTAGTTTGTATCTGCTAATCTCAAACTCCTAATTTATCCCTCCCTACTATTTCCCTTTGGGAACCATAAGTTAAGTTTTTTGTGTCTGTGAGTCTCCTTCTGTTTTGTAAATAAGTTCATTTGTGGTTTTTTTTTAGATTCCACATATAAGTGATATCATGATATTTATCTCTCTCTATCTGACTTATTTGACTTAGTATGATGATCTCTAGGTCCACCCATGTTGCTGCAAATGGCATTATTTCATTCTTTTTTATGGATGAGTAGTAGTCCAGTGTGTGTGTGTGTGTGTGTGTGTGTGTGTGTGTGTGTGTGTGTGTGTGTGTGT